TTTCATTTTGTAATTAAAACTTACCATTACTCCAAGCGCAGTGCTTGTAAAGAAGAGATAAAGAAAGGTTCCAAATAGCTTTATTGCAGTCATGGCTTTAACATGGCTGAGATTCAGTGATTGGACTGCATTGAAAAGTACAATTGAAGTAGCATCATTAGCAACTCCCTCTCCAAACACAAGACTGTAAAGTAGGGGTGTTTCATCTTGGTTGAGAACCTTTTATATTAAAAGGGAAAAGAAGAATTAGCTAGCAGAGGTAAAAGAAAGTTGTTGATTCATATATAGTAGTTGTACCTGTAATGTGCACACTGAGTCAGTGGCTGAGAATATAGCCCCAGTAGCTACAAGTGATTTAACTTCAAATGTTACAATGGAAAAGCAAACTAAATACAAAATGCAAATATAATGCAATAAGAAAATTACTTGAGACATACCTAGGTACTGTTGTATCTTCAAGGATGTAATGCCTATTTGCTTAAATAGAAAGTATGAACCTGTTAATTAAAATAAAAGTATTATAATTTACATGAAAGAGTTTTGTAAGTCAGTTGCATTGCATAACAGTACTTGACGGTAAGGTGAGACAATCAAGAATGTAATTTTCACCATGCCTCTCGCCAATAACTTGTCATCAAGATGATGCTTGCTAGCCAGCCTAACACGGCATGTGGTTCATGCCAACTGTCACAAGCAAATGATGCATCTCATGTAGCCATAATATGGCACAACCAATATGATTGAAACTCACACCATTCTTGCAATTCAAAGCTAAAATTCTGTCTACATGAAATGCCATAAAACAAATACAAGTCATCTACTACTACAAATGGATATGAAACCCATGGTTAAATGTTAGTATAAACTAACTCAATTTCTGCAGAAGCAATTACTACCAATAAAACAAGGAAGGTAATTCACAGGAAAAAAAAGGAAAAAAATCTTAATTTGCATAAATACGATATCGAGTTCTGTGGAGATTGTTCAGAACTTGACACTATGATAGACCAATCTATTGAATACTCTACCCTAGATGAGACAACTGAAAGAACTGATGATCGATGACAAAAGCATTATAATTTATAGCTGTTTCCAGAATGAAGTTCAATTGCAGAGATTACAATAACATGCTTGTATACACTGTTTTAGACATGAAGAAACAATTTAGTGCATGCACATGCCATATATCACTCTGTGGGTGCCTGAAACAGAAGGTTATAGATATTTTTAATACATAACTAAGAGTATTTCTACTGTATATAACATCGCATCAATGTTCATTTCAGTAGTAAACCATTATACATATGGACAAAAATGCCCATAATAATTTCTCTACTTTTTCTAAGTTGTCCATGCCTCCTGTTTAGAATATTTCTGTCTCCTCTTCTTGTCATCCAATGTTCACTAGGAACAGGCCAAAAAACCAATTTCCTACTCCCAAATTCATCTTCATTATACAACAGACTGGAAAATTAGTTGATGGGCACAAAAAAGGATAGAAACAATTATACTAACAGGTACTTGGCCTAAAGACAAAGGAGTCAGTTGATGTTTTGAATGACGTTTATTTGTAAGTTGGGTTATATTCCACCATTTTTTCCAATGGAGGCAAATAACAGAAGTGAAATGTGAATCATTAGGATATGTTGGTTTCTTCTTGATAATAGTGGAAATGCTATGGATGAGATGTAAACAAGCCATAATAATGGGATTTTTAGATAACAGATCCATTGATTTAAAGTATGTTCTCTAACATAAAACTACACTAATATATGGAGAAAAATTGTCTCCACTGATTGTTGGGTCTATGGCCTTTTGTGTCATACCTTTTCAAGATTTGTTCCATTGGAGATGTCTTACTAGAATTCCAAGATCATGTCCATGTTTGATAGCTCATAGGTAATGCCAAAGAAATAATAAAAGTAAAGTATAATATAGGTTGTATTAGACAAAGAAGGTAATGTTAATATCAAATAGAAACAATAAAAAGGATGTACCCAGTGCACGAGGGGATGTACATTAAATAGAAACAATATGCAAATAAATTGTAGGTTCACAATGTTCCATCATCTCTTCACATATAAATCAAAAAATGAAAATTGAGAGAGGGGATGTGCATTAATCATAAAATAACTGAGTTCCAGATTTAAGTTTGTTGACATTCTAAGAAACAACACTTCTTACCTGTGGAGATGATGCAAAAGGATATTAGTGTTCCTAGTACACCAAACAGTAGAATTGTTGAGAAATTTCGAAAAAATTGTTTTTTCTTGACCTGAAAACTGCACATAAATTGGGCTCAGATAAGGGAAGAAATTTGTCTAGAAAAAAAACTACCATGACACTGAAATTGGTATTTGCTTAATAACACTTATGCAAGTAGCACACCTGAAAATTAAGTTATTTAACTTGTAAGATTAAGTAAACGATCTCAATCTCACCAATTCTGCATGTAGATAAAACTGTGCCTGTGTGAATCGTCACTTAAGAATCCCTCAAGTGCATGTAAATATAGTTCAGGACATGTCATATTGCACAAATAGACTTCAAATTCAAGCATGAATAAGTATATGTGCGACGATACACCCTGATTAAGTCTTTGCTCTTAACTAAGTCATATCACTATGAAGAATCTTTTCTCTAGTTCATTGCTATCTTTTTTTGAAGCATTCACCACATCATTTTTCAGCCAAGTTATTATGAAATTGAACTTTGACTCCACAATAAGGTTGCATGCCAAGTTTTTATGACTTGGGTGTCAAAGAGTAGGGTATTCACATATATTGCTAAGTATAATCTTGAGAAAAAAACCATTATTTTTAGTCTCATGCTCTTCTGCAGATACATGCTCTTAAACAGTGTTTTCCTTGGCATGTACACACCATCATGTGATCAGCTGCTGGCATGATGCATGTCATAACTCCATGCCATGCCATCAGTATGAATCTTGTCATCACTGTGCTGATAACAGCAAGTAGTGGCTTTTGAGAAAATTCCATTGCTTTTAGTCTCATGCTCTTCCATGAATACATGATTTAACCAACTGTTTTTACTTGCCATGCACTCACCATTGTGCCGATCAGCTGCTGACATGATGCATGCACCAAGTATATGCAATGCTATGAATCCTGTCATCACTGTGCTGACACCAGCATATAGTGGCTTTTTAGAAAAATCAATTGCTTTTTAGTCTCATGCTCTTTCACGAACATATGCTCTTAACCAAATGTTTTACGTGCCATGCACACACCATTGTGCCAATTAGCTGCTGGCATGACACATGCCACATGTATATGCAATGTCATCAGTATGAGTCCTGTCTTTGTGCTGACACCATATGAAGTGGTATTGAGAAGGGAGGATTAGAAAGAAAAGATAATTATTGAAGTATTATGTCATAAGAGGGTGTACCACTGCTGACAGTGTATCAGCAGAGAATGTGCTGTCCCAAATTAAAAATTGTGCTCTTGGTTTCTACTTTAGTTTCTTTCGGCCTAAGTTTTCACCATGAAGAAATTTACATCAATAGATAAAAATATACCTGTGCCAGATGATCATGGGTTATATATATATATATATATATATATATATATATATATATATATATATATAGCAGAAAGGAATGAGAAAATTGAGTAATTTCAGTAGAAATGATCATCTTTGGTTTTCTTTTATGCTCGTATTGTCCTAATCTACCAATTAGAAGAGTCAAAGACTAAAGTAAGGGGAAATACCCGGCGTTGAAGATGATGGGAGGCAACAGATATATGAAGAACAGCTCCTCATCAAACGTGAGGATGCGGGACCTCTTCCATTTGGTAACCAACAGCATCACAAGACCAGCACACAAACCCTAAAAGAAAGAATGAGCTCATGAGCGTAAATAAAGCAGACCCCAAGCTACAAAGCCTCAGCTCTAAAACCAGGAGAGGAGAAGGGGGCGGGAAGCCAAACCAGGAGGAGGGAGGCGATGGACTCGTTGGCCCAGCGACTGCCCTCGAGGAGGTGACCGATGACGAGACAGGCGCAGAGGAGGGCGACGAAGACGGTGATGGAGACCACGACCGAGGCGGTGGCCACGGTCGTCGGGAGGTCGGAGGCGGGGAGGGAGAGCAGGGTCGAGGTGGCCATGGCGGTGGCTCTGCGATAGGCGTGATGGGAGGAGACTCGTGGTCTGTGGCCATGGGTTTGGCTTTTGCAGAGATCGATGAGAAGGACACGGCAAAGAGGGAAGGAATGGCAGGTCGAGAGTGCGATATATACTTACCTTTCGTCTCGTTTGAACGACCGTTCGTATTCATGGCTTACGGCCCTCTCCATCAAAAATAAAAACATAGATGATAGAAACATCGGGTAATGGATGAGAGGGTAGAGATTACCAGAGATAGAGACAGAGACAAAGACAACAAAGGATGAACATGAGTAAAATAAGAACAATAAATGGGTAATATTATCTTTCACAAAAAAACAAAATCCTCTTATCAAAATTTTTGAAAACGAGAGCATCAATTTCTCAAAAAGTATAATTTTTATTTCCAAAATTTATCCATTGCAGATTACAATTCATCAATATCATCTGTTATTTCGGGAATCTTAAAGTATCTCGTCGGTCTCCTCTACCAACTTTGGCTTAATTTGTCAATCCCATTATATCCATATTTCACAAATTTTAAATTAAATGTTACAGGTGGATCCCATTTCACTCATTCCTAACTTTGTACACTCAATCATCACCTTAGCACTCATTTCAAACGATGAGGTGCTTTAAGGTTCGTGCGGCACATCATGATATTCCCCCGTACGTACGTGATCTGCTGATTCCTTTTATCCAAAGAAACAGCCAACAAACACATTCGTCCGTTTGTTATGTATACGCTTACGTATGTATATAAAAGAATCTCCGAGAACAGAAATGCGAGTGGAGAGCCAGCGAAACCGCCGCTTTTATTGGAAGTCCTTTTTTATTCTAATATAGGCTTTAGCTTTGAGCTTTGGCGAGAAAGAGAGAGAGAGAGGGGGATTGTGGCCTTCGCCTTCCTCGTAGAGAGGCGGAGTCCGGCCAAAGTGGTCGTCGGGGGAGGGGGAGGGGGAGGGGCGGGTTGTCGATGGCCGTCTCCTGGTCCTCCGCCATCAGGATCTCCCTCCTCGTCCTCCTCGTCGCCGCCGTCGTCGCCGCTTTCTTCACCCTCCCTGTCCAAAAGGTGACCCACATTTCGCCTTGCTCTTGTATAAACCGGTCTATCTGCTGCATCCGTGATCTTCTTCATCAGACACGGCATTTTCATAGTAATCGCATTTCGACAAAGCAATCGTGGATTACAATTTATCAATTAGTCTCCTGTGACAATTTTTTCAAGAGATTATCGAGGATCTCTTATATATGTCTTTTGTGAACCTCTCGATACAAGGAGTAAGGGTCATGTCACTTGTCGTTGTCAAGTTAGACTGTGTAAACAACGCCAACAATTTACTAACTGATATTATTAAGTAAATGGACAAATAGGAAACATGTTTGACTCTCCCTGACAATTTTCGGGTAAACTAAACTATACTACGTTTAGCCTCAACTAGACTTTGGTTGCGTTGGTAGGAAGAATGTCTATGCTTATTGAATCAAGCTGTGTATCAAAACGGGAGGGGTTGAAAAATACGGCTGCTTGTTAGGTTGGACAGACATGGAAGTTACATAAATTTACAGATTTTAAGGCCATCCTCATTGGCATTACAGATATTATTCAACACATACTAGAGAGGCTCGGCTACTTTGCTGTGCTGGAGAAAATTTCCCAACAGATGTGGTTCAATCAAGTTCAAACATTGAATTGGAAATGTTATGAATGAAATTGATTCAAATTGTCTAGAATGTGGGGAAAAATAAAATTACTTTGAAACCCTTGGGTTTGCATTAAGAGCAAGGACCATCATTTAATGCGTAGACCTAGGCTAGAAATTTATTATCATATGCTAACAGCTGCAGCATCGGTCAGCATGACACAGGCCATTACCTTTTTAGCATGGTATTATCCCATGCTGACATGTGCCGGCATCCTTATGCGTTCAAGATCTTGATACAATAGAAAACATCATACAGCAAATTATAGAGTATCCTATGCTGGTCTTTTTAGTTGACTAATAGTTGTAACTAACTTGGATTTCTTACAGATTTTGAACGACTTTTTGGTGTGGATAAAGCAGAATGTTGGTCCGTGGGGTCCTGTTGTGCTGTAAGTCCCATCTTAATTGCTAGGCTTGACAATTTTTATAGATGGTTGTTGCAAATCATTGGTTTGCTTTACCTCATGTTTACTTATAATGCTTTCTTTTATGGGTCCATTTTACTATTTTTCCATGGTTATTGATTTTATCATTGTGAAACATTCTAACTATACCTAATATGTGCTTTGGCATGCAATTGCTGTGACTCACCAAGATATGGCATGGCAGAGCAAATCAACTATAGAATGTATTTATCATTGTATTTATTATGTTGTTGCTTATATGCACTTGGAGTCTAGCTCGACAAATCCCTGTTTATAGAAGGTATTAAGTTCAAAGACCAATATGATATGCTTATCAAATTATTTTATTTTTATTTAAAAATAATATCATCTTCTGCTAGAAGTGTGAGTTATGATTTTTTTTCTCTTTTCTTTCCTTTGGTTCAATAAACATGAGTTGTAAATCATATTTTAACTTATATTTTTTGGCAACCCTGACTGTTAACAAATTATGGACAATCATGATAGACTTCGAGACTATGTGATCTAAATTTTGGCATGTCAGATTGCCATTAAACAATGTACTATTACTGAATTCAATAGAAAATGTTCCAATATATCTTTTATATTTTGTACTTATTCTTATATTTATATAACATCTGAAAACATATGCACAAGAAACCTAACAGTAGAGTACACTAAGATCCTCCATATATTCATCTTAAGGATGAAAACATTGAAAATTGAATTTCTTACTGCCAAACACACCACATAATGGAAGTATAAAAACATTTATTTTAGAACTTATATATTACATAATGTAAATTTGAAGCCATATGTTTACCATAGGTAGTCAACATTTAATAATTAGATGGTTTGTGATATACAGAACAAGGTATGCAGTTTCGAATAATACCGCCCGTACCGAGTGGTACGTACCGGTCCGTCAGCTTATCGGTACATAGACCATCCGTTACCGGACGGTATATATATATATATACAAGGTATGCAATATCGTACCATATCAGTGTTTCGAGGTTAGCTCGGTACGGTATGGTACCGATGTATTGAGCGGTACACCAGGGCGTACCAAATAATTTTATATATTTTTTCATACTGTAGCACTGCTGCACTGCTACAGTGTAATACTGTAGCACTGTAGCGCTACCGGGCGGTCCGCGTACCGGTATGTCGTCGGACCGATACGTACTGTCCGTACCGGGCGGTACCATTCGGTACTGCATACTATGTATATATATATGTATATATATATATATATATTAAAAAGCGACGTCGCCCGGAGAAGGAAAAAAAATAAAAAAATATGTATATATATGAGGTGACATCGCATTTTATAAAAATATTATATATAAAAAATCTTTTATATATATATATATATACATATATCGAGCGGTATACTGAACGATATACCGCTCGGTATACTGTATCGTACCGTACCGAGCGAATGTCGAAACGTTGGTATGGTACGATATTTCAAACCTTGATACAAAATACCATAAATATGACTAACAACATGGGATAAACCATCAATTAGATATAATGACTCCAAACTTGACTATATTTTGTTCAAAGAGGACCACAAAGGAGTAAAGAAGAGACAAAAAAAAGGAAAGAAGAAAAGGAGAACAAGAGGTAGGATTGGAAGAAAGATATGGAGAATCATGACAATATAATTGGCATAAATAGACCTAGTACCGCGAGACCATGAATGAGATATTCTTGACAGTCCTGTTCATTCTTTGACATCATGATGTGCTTTCAGAATGTTGACTAAGTAGAGTAGATGTTCTTTGGGGCAGGAAGAACATAGTTGATGAGATCGTGCACTGGTCAAAGGTACAGTTACAAGGCATGAACATTTTTACCAGAGAGGATATCTTCAGTATGAATCTTTTCCTATGAGGGCTAGGCACATGAAGAATAGATCATAATCTTGCTACTGTTAGATTGTTTACTATAAGTGAGGAGCATTGTAATATTTTTCTTATGATTAATGGGTTTGTTGGTGGGAACTAAGAAATTTTCATGAGTCTCCAGCCTCAATAGGACCCTTAGTCTCTGTAGGATCTGTATTCAAAGTGTGAAGCAGCTTTATATACAAGCAAGGTGTAGCTTGGGTTGGCCTTCTATTATTTGTTTCACAAGTCATAGTTGATGCAGTTAGAAGTATGTGAGCAACACCTATAGCTAAGTTACTATTGCAGCTAATGTTAAGTGCAACTATGACTTGCCAGATTTTGTTTTTCGTTTTTTGCAGTTTTTATGTTTATCATAAAGCTCTTTCTTTGAAATTTCTGTTGGCACTTATGTCTTGTTTCGGTTATTTCTATTGGTTAAAGACTATTGGAATTCCTTTACAAGTTTTGGTCATCGTTTGTGTAAAACCATCTTATGAAAGCTTTCATGTCATGTAGCATATCATCATATGTACCTTTTTCTTAGTGTTTGATGCCAAAATTTTACAGCTACTTATCAAAGGAAATTAACCTTCTCAATTTGTTCTTTATAATCAGGGCTGTTGCATATATTCCTTTGACAATTCTAGCTGTTCCGGCATCAATACTTAGTGTAAGCACAAAATTCTCTTAATATTATTAAAGTTTACTTATTTGGACAATTACACTTCTTATTGATATGTAGTATATCTCAATTAATGAATATTTTCCATCTTGTATTTTGCTTGTTCTTGGGATGAGATTTTGTGTATATGAAGTTTTGAAGTTTGTTTCCCTATTGATGTAGACACATATTTTATGCATGTATTGTACTAAGCAAGTACAGTATGGTCCATGAGAAATTATGACCCTTCCAGCACTGTATTCTTATGATAAGAACTCTTGAGAATACCGTATGAATGTAAGGATCACTATTTCCAAATATTGTGTAACTGTTTCAATTTATCTCATTATTAAAGAACAATCTCTAGTCAATATGGTTGTTAGGGAACAAAATGCATCCGAAGGGACTTAAATTGATTATGCATAATTTTGGATCTTTACGTTGCAGCAGATCACAATTATGCTAAGTGCCAAGCTCTGATAAGCAAATCTATGATCACATTACAACTTTTGTTCACCATCACCATTCCATGACTTCTTTCTTTCAACCCTCCCTACCCCACCCAAAAGGGGAAAAAAAGAAAATATTAAATGAAAACTATAATGGAAAAAAACTACCAATGTATGTTAACAACTTGATGTCGTGAACTGGGAGTAGCACGAAATCATCTAGGTGGGTCTTCTCAAGGGAGGGACAAAGTGGCTGAGACTGAGCGGGGGCTGGCGAGGGTGATTCCAAGGTTATCTCGTGGTAGAGTTGGAGTAGATTCGATCTTCGTTGGAACCTTGCACAATAGGTTGATGTCGGGAGGGATTCTCGACCCGACCCCTCCGATGCTTAAGTTAACTGATGGGGAATTGATTCTTTATCTAGTGAGGATTTTTTGGGATCAGTCCTCTCTTTAGGCATCAGGGACCGATTTTTACACTTGTGTAGTCAGCGGGAAGGAATTATGGCTGCAAGGACCTCCCATACCTCCTGCAGCGCATTCATGCAGGCGATTGACCCGTACAGCCCCCTGCGATGTGGGTCGGCTTGTTCAGGCTCCTATGGCACGACATTGATCTGTATCGTCCCATGCGACACGAGGCTGATAGGAGATGGTTGAGAGAGTGTCGATTGCCAAGCCAGCCCTCTCCCACATCAGACAGTTGTCGTGCTGTCCTTCACATCAGACATATATATAT